ACTTTAGATTCATCTGGGGACTTAATAAAAACTAAAACACTGTATAGGGGTCTTTGTGCTCCATGCCCTTGCTTAGAGTTTTAAAAACTCACCCACATAAAGATGTGTAAATGAGTTGAGAGTCAGCCTATTGCCCTTGACTTCTTGGTTAGTTTGTCTCACAGTTGGGTCACTCTGTCCCCAGCTGCAGCTGCCAAGGCCCTGCCGCAGGTTCTGCCATTAATATTCCTAGACAAAGGAATGTAAGAAGCAGGGATGGGGGGGTGGGCAGTAGTTGGGCTGAGTCAGCATTGTATCAAAGGTGTTTTTACATCTATTCCTTAACACAAGTTCTCTGTAGTCTCCTTCCTAAACAACTAAAACATGTTTAAATGGCACATCACAGAACTCCTCTGCTTCCCACCGCCTCAGGATTAAAAGTCCATCATCATGAAACAACCTGTGCTTCCTCCTCCCCTTCCTTTACCTGCATAGTCACGCACCCCTTGGCTGTCTGTCTCAGCCCCTTCTCCCTTCAACCGAATGGGCTCCAGCCACTGCCTCTTGGGTGTCCATGACCTTTGCTCCTGCCGTTCCACCAGCACCTTCTCCATGTTCCTTCTTTGTTTCATTTATTTAGGGTGGGTTTGTTGGCTATCTACAAGTGCAGACACCATCAGTAAAGGAGTGTGGTCTCCTCTCTTGCTCATTGTATCTTCAGTGGTTAAGATTAGACCCACAAGTAAGAGTCACTCAATAAACATTGATAGAATGATCAGGCTGCCCATCTTGTAGTCAACTTTAGAAGCAGACCTCTGTTTTGTTCCCTGTGCCTATTTTACTACTAAGGTGGCCCCTTATCTTCACTATGTTAAGAGTAGATGAATGTTTATTTCTGGCCACATGGTACAGGGGTTGATGAGCTCTTCTGAATGTCACCACATCTGAGATACTCATACTGATTGCCAACTCTAATGGTCCTCTCAATCCCTGCCCTTGTTCCTACATTAGTCCTTACTGGCTCCTTCCAATCTTGGCTATTTTCCTCAACAATGCTGACTTCTGGGAGTCAGAACAAGGCTACTCTATTTCAGTGGAGGACACCTGGTTTTCATGTTCCCAGTTCATCCTAATTATCTCTTGAGCTCTAAACTCCTATCTTGATAAAGAAAATATTATGTATTAAAGTTAACCTAGACTAATTAGTTATTTCATCCATCCATCCATCCATCCATCCATCCATCTATCCATCCACCCACCCATCTTCAATTGCCTTTGGATATATGCTGTAACAAGGCAGGGGTACCTCATTCTTTTAATTTATTGTAGTTTCTCTAATATCTAGAAGAGTGGTTGACACATTGCAGCTACACAATGTATAACTTTTTGTTGGATGAATAAATGGCTTTTACTCTGGTAAGGCTTTGCTGTCACCAAATTCTGAAATATAGGAATTAAGTGTAAGAAAAATACAAATGGCTTAATGCATAGGGTTCTCAAAAGAAGAAAATCAGATGGCCAAGAAATATTTTTAAAAGGGTTCAACATTGTTAGTCACAGGGAAAGATAAATAAAACTGCTTTGAGATTCCACCTCTCTCCTCAGACAGAACGGCTATCATCAAGAAAACATAGGGCAACAGATGCAGGCAAGGAGGTGGGGGAAAGAACAACATTGTTTGCTGCTGGTGGGAGTGCAAGCTAGTGCAACTGCTGTGGAAATAATTATGGAAGGTTCTCAAATGGCTAAAAATAGAACTACCTTGTGACCCAGTTATGTCACTCCTGGCTATATACCCAAAGGACACTATCACAGAGACATTGCACATCCACATTTACTGCTATGCTAGTCACAGGAGCAAGAAAATGGAATTGTCCATCAAGAAAGGAATAGAATATACACACAAAATTATGAAACTTGTAGAAAAATGGATGGACCTGGAAAGTATTAGTAAAATACTAAGTGAGGTATGTGTTCTCCCTTACATGTGTGTCCTCTTTTAATATATGTATCATAGGTATATGTATGTATGTGTGTCTGTATAATGTATAAATATATGTACACATATGTATATATGTGGCATGTGTGTGTGTATGTGTACCAAAAGAGGATCCATCCAAACTGGAACACTCCTAGAGGAGTAGGAAGGGGCTGATCTGGGGGTAGATAGCTTCTGGGGAAATGATTTGCCTTAGTCTGAGAAGAAAATAGTTAATTCTTAATATTACCAGTCCAGTATTTAGGATTTTGTATCCCTGCTAAGGCTTACTACCCAGAATCAATGCTCATGGTGTTTTCATGGTCATTTACAAACAAATACAGAGAACCTAAAAGATCGAGTCACCCAGCACATGTCTAGTGGTGTTCCAATAGGCGGCATGCTACGTTTATTCTACAAATGCATGTCTCTGTCTCTTTGTCTTGTCTGTCGTCTGTCTGTCATTGTCTCTGTTTCTCTCTCTCTGCCTCTCTGCAGCTTAGTCCAGGATGGAATTCCTCAGGGATCCACTTGTCCCCTCTTCCCGTCGCAGTACTGGGACAATAAACGTTTGCCAGCACACCCAGATTTTTCGGGTGGGTGCTGGAGATTGAATTCAGGTCCTCACGTTTTCATCGCAAGCGCTTTACTGACTGTCTCCTAGCCTGTTTGCCTTTTAAAATGCATATTTAATTTCATATTTTTGTGTTTTTGATGGTGATTTCACCCTTCCACAGTGGTCATCAGTGTAGTTCTGAAGTGTCATTTGGTATTTGCAATCACCAGGAGGCTGTGATGTACCTTTCAGGGAAAATACATGTGTTTGGTAAGCTTCATTCAGGCATGAGTTACAGAACTGTTGGCTATGAATCCAGTGTAAATGAATCAATAATATATTAAACTAGACACCTTTAAACAAGAAAACACAATGCATTGATCTGTTGATGGAAACCTGACCACTGCATTGGCAGGAACCTACTATGCATTTCAATATGTCCACCCGGAAGTACCCAGGAGACTATAACGCAACATAAGCACCCTTCATAGAACTATCATGAAAATATGAGCTGAATCATAATCTTAGTAATTTCTCATTTGAGGTTTTGACAGACATTTCATCAGGCTAGTACGGATAACTTGGAGGCCATGGAGATAGATTACTGAAATGTTTCTCTGAAGAAGGGAAATCTGGCAGAGTGGGGCAGCAGGAGAGTGGGCAGGAGCAAGTGGAGTTGATGGTTTTCCCCACGTTACAGGTGATTTGTTTAGAGAAAATAACGGCAGAAGCAGGCATCTCTGCATCTGGAATGCTGTGCCTTTAAAGACTTGATTTTCATTCTTGCTTTTCAAGGGGGAAGCTTCTTGGCAGGTACTTAGTGGTTACTTTGGGGACTTTATCCTGGGATCACATATCTCATTTTCTCTTAGGAAATCCCATCATGGAAAGGCAATGGATTGCTTTGGAGCTCAACGAGCATAGGGTTAAGATGTTTCATGCCACTTTTATTAATACAGCTCAGGAAGGCCAGAAAGAGCCAATTTATTGATGTCAACTCACTTTAACCCCGTTTCACCCAAATGACTTAATCATCGACCGGGCTGGATCTGGTTTCTTCTGGGAATTCTGAGGGGTGTTAGAAGTAAATTACTACTACTCAAACATTTTGTACTTGTTGTTTTTGAAAGAAAACCTTGTCCAAATGTCCTCTCCTTTCCTGGAGTAAAGCACAGAGATCCTTGAACGAAAACCAGCTAGGTGGGTAAGAAACTGTCCTTCCACTCCCAAGAAGCCCTCCGATTTAAAAGTATCTATTACTGAGAAACTGGCTCTTCAAATTCTGGCATGCTACATATTTAATTACCAGCAGTTTCTCAATTCTTTCCTGCTGGGTGTAAGACTCATTGGTCTTGGCAGGACCGGGGTGATACACCAGCTTTACCTTTGTTTTCTTGCTTCTTTGTTCTACATCCCCCATAAAGGTCTCCGGGTTTTACTTTTTGTCTCTTATACTTTTATTCTCAGGGGAAATTACGCACTAAAGAAATGTTTGAAAATATAAATTCATGCAGCCACGCTGTACAACCAGCTAGCAACTTCAACCAAAAGCTCTCAAATGGACTCATCATTTTAGCCCAGCAATTTCATTTCTGGAAATTCCTTCTACCAATGGATGCACAAAGATCTAGTTACAAAAATGCTCAGGAAATTCTAACAACAAAACAACATTAGTAGCAACAACAACAAAAACCTACAATCATCTTAAGAATTGTATGTAAAGCCCATTGGGGAGATGAAAGCAGATCTCTCTCTACTGACCTGGAAGATAGGTAACTTTCTGTTGACTAAATACAATGAAGTGCAGGAGATGTGCAACATTGACCAGTGTGCAGAAAGGGAAAGATTGTGTGTATCATCAAAGTACGCAAAAAGACGAATACTATTCTGTGGCTAACGTGACCTTCAAGGCTATTTGAATTGGGTGTGGTAAGTAGGAAGAGGGAAAAGACTTGAGGGTGGCTGTAAATTTTTAGCTTTATGTGTTTATTTTATAACAATTATGTATAACTTTTATAACGCTATAAAAACACATTTTATGGAATGTACTTTAACGTCTTATTTTCCACTTAGGGAACTTCTGTGGAGAGACAAAGACTGAGCCATCAAACCTTCTGGGTCCCCCCACCTATCAGTGATGGGCTGTTATGACCAGGTGTGTGAGCTCAGTCATCCATCTCAGTGCTGCTTGAACCATTTCAGTTTCTCCAGCTCATTTCTGGCCTACCTGCTTGTTGTGGTTGCATCTTCTGGGTACCCGTTTTTAGACAGACACAAGTTATCTGAAATCCAGAGATACCTGAGCACCTTTGTCCTGGGTGAACAGTCCAGACGCTTTCCCTTTCTCATCGCACCAACCCAAGCCATCACACTCCACAGCTGTTGACTGTGAAGAATACTAATGGCCTACACCTGAGTCAGCTAAACAAGCCCTGACCCCCAGTTTGTTTCCTTTAAGCTACCCAATCCACAGCTGGCTTGGGAAAGCCTTTCAGAGAAAGCCCACTCCCTTAGTTCTACAGGCTTCAGTGTACGCCTGTGTGGGTCCTCTGGCTCTTGTGCATGCCCTCCTTGTTGACTGAGCTACTGCGTTTTATCAGCTCCCTTGACCTCTTTGGGACTGGTAAGTGATAGATAAGTTTCTTGTTTGTGACATTTTGGTTTTGTTATGAAATGTTTCTTAGGGGTTCTTTTGCTGGTCCAAGAGAGGAATTGCAGGCAGGCAATAGCCTGTTCCTTTTTGTTCATTGTTGTTGGTTCTAGGCATTCATAGGCCCAGTTTCTACATCTGTATCTTGACACCTAGACTCTCAAAGATTCAGAGTACCAACATCCCAAGGTCAGATTTATAGCTTGTGAGCCTCAGGTATCCAAATCTTTCACTACTTGTTTATCTCTTTGTGTCTCCTTTGGGCTTTTTAGTGACCTGGCCTTGTAGTTGTTTTAAGCATTTGTCTTTGGTTCTTTTTTTTATTATTTTACATACCAATCCCAGTTCCCTCTCCCTCCCATGTTCCCACTCCTCCCACCATCTCCCCAATTGACCCCCATCCACTCTCAGGGAGGGTGAGGCCTCCCATGGGGAATTATCAAAGTCTGTCACATCATTTGGGGCGGGACCAAGGCCCTCCCCCCCTCTGTGTCTAGGCTGAGCAAGGTACCTCTCCATAGGGAATGGGCTCCAAAAAGCCAGTTTATACACTAGGAATAAATACTGGTTCCACTGCCAGAGGCCCTGTAGACTGCCCCCCCCCCCGCCAGCTGACTTATACCTCTTACCTTCTCTAGTCTCAGCTTCTTTCAGGTTCTATCATTGGTGGATTTTGGAAGCTCCTCGCTTCCTTTCTAGTGTCACAGCTTTGGGGTGTTAAGGTTCTGGTGAAGTTCTGCACTGTTCCTGCTTCAAAGGCAAGAGAAGTACATGATAGCTGTTGACCAAAGGGCCAGGGTGCTGATACCGTTAGGTCATTTCAAGGAAAATTAAATGTTAAAAGGGGCTTACATGTTTAGGAAGTGTGTGTGTGTGTGTGTGTGTGTGTGTGTGTGTAACAATAATAAAATTCAAGAAGAGGTGTTTGAGGGCTAGTGGAGGCAAACAGGAGGATTGTGTGTGTGTGTGTGTGTAACAATAATAAAATTTGAAGGCTAGTGGAGGCAAACAGGAGGATTGTGTGTGTGTGTGTGTAACAATAATAAAATTCAAGAAGAGCTGTTTGAAGGCTAGTGGAGGCACACAGGAGGAGGTGGAAGGGGAAAAGGAGGGATGGCACACCCCAGGCAGGTGGTCCAAAGTTGATTAAAAAGCGATCTGTGCAATTCAGTAGTCAGCACTCTTCCATGGGCTCTACGTCAATTCCTGCCTCCAGGTTCCTGCCTTGAGCTCCGGCCCTGACGTCCCTTAGCTGCTTGGGGTGTACAAGGCAAGGTTATTCTGGAAACTCTTTATAGATACCTTCCAGGGAAAGACTAAACAAAATAAAGTCTCTATATGTCAAACCCACACCATTTCATCTGGAAAGGGAAAGACCAAAAACATTCTCTCTATATCAAGAGCAAACTTAGGAGTTCACCCTCACCATTATTGTTTAGTATATTACTAAAAGTTTTAGAGAGAACAGTTAGGCAAGAGTAAGAAATGGGGTACAAAAAGGGAAGGAGTAATCAAATGATCCATGTTTTAGGTGATATAATTTTAGAAGAACAAATGACTCCACTCAAGCTGGGTGTGGCAGGGCACATCTATAATCCCAGAATTCCAGACATACAGGATGTTGAGAAGTTCAAGGCCAACATCAACCACACAGTGAGTTTGAAACCAGCCTGTGTTACCTGAGATGCTGCTCCATCCCTCAAAAGATTATCAGAACTGGTAAACAAATCCAGCAATGTATATTTATATGAAAATTAACACACAGGATTATTATTCTCTATGTAACAACAATGAATTTTCCAATAGCTGCAAAAATCAATCATACCTAGGAATGAACTTAACTAAGAAAGTGAATGATTTCTATAATAAAAATTATAAAACATTGAAGATAAAAATTAAAAATATACATATGAAAACACTTCTCATATTCATGGGTTGGAATGTCCATATTCCCCAGAGCTACTTACCTATAGATGCTATATAATCTCTCTCAAAATACTAAACAAATTCTTCAAAACTAGGAAATAATCTGAAAATTCATATAGAAGCAAAAAGACCAGGAATAGTCAAATAAATCTCAACAAATGACATACCTTTATTTTTTATTTTTTAATTTTCAAATTTAAATTTAAATTAGAAACAAGGTTGCTTCACATGTCAATCCCAGGTCCCTCTCCCTTTCCCTCCCCTCCTTCCATGCCCTCCCACCAACACCCTCAATACCCCCTCATTTCCCAGGGAGGTCGAGGCCCTCCATGGGGTGTCCATAGTGTGTCATTTCCCAAGAGTCCAGTCTGAGAGAGCATCTCTCATTGTGGGATAGGCACCCAAAGTCCATTTGTATGCCAGGGATAAATACTGATCTACTACCCAAGGTCCAATAAATTGTCTAGACCTCCTCACTGACACCCACATTCAGGGGGTCTTGATCAGTCCTATGCTGGATTCCCAGTCATCAGTTTGGGATTTGAGAGGTAACCCTTGTCAGGTCAGCTGTTTCTGGGGTTTAAATCAGCCCAGTCTTAACCCCTTTGCTCATCAGTCCTGCCTCTCTGTCACTGGGTTCCTTGAGTTCAGCTCAGTGTTTAGGTGTAGGAGTCTGCCTCTGCTTCCATCAGCCATTGAATGAAGGTTTTGTTTCCCAGACTCTCTGGCAGTAAGATTGAAGGCTGGCACTCCCCAGATCTATGTCTAAAATCCAGAAATGAGAGAGTACACACCATGTTTCTCTTTTTGTGACTGGGTTACCTCACTCAGGATGGTTTCTTCTAGTGCCATCCATTTGCCTGCATTGGTTTTTTTTTCTGCTGGATAGTACTCCATTGTGCAAATGTACCACATTTTCTCTATCCGCTCTTCAGTTGGGGGCATCTAGGTTGCTTGCAAATTCTGGCTATTACAAAAAATCCTGCTATGAGCATAGTGAAACAGATGTCCTTGTTGTATGAATGTGCATCTTTTTGATATATGGCTAAGAGTGGAATTGCTGGGTCTTGTGGTAGGCTTATTCCCATTTTTCTGAGGAATCTCCATACTGATTTCCAAAGTGGCCATCTGAGTTGGCGCTCCCGCCAGCAGTGGAGGAGTGTTCTCCTTTCTCTACAACCACTCCAGCATAAACTGTCCTTGGTGTTTTCGATTTTAGCCATTCTGACAGGAGTAAGATGGTATCTCAGAGTTGTTTCAATTTGCATTTCATGGATGGCTAGGGATGTTAAGCACTTTCTCAAGTGCCTCTCAGCCACTTTAGACTCCTCTATTGATAATTATCTATGTAGTTCTGTAGCTCACTTTTTAATTGGATCCTTTGGTGTTTTGGAGACTTGCTTCTTGAGTTCTTTGTAAATTTTGGATATCAGCCCTCTGTCAGATGTGGGGTTAGTGAACATTTTTCCCATTCTGTGGGCTGCCTTTTTGTCTTGCTGACTGTGTCCTTTGCCTTACAGAAGCTTCTCAGTTTCAGGAGGTCCCGTGTATTAATTGTTGATCTCACTGTCTGTGCTACTGGTGTTATGTTCAGGAAGCTGTCTCCTGTACCAATTAGTTCAAGGGTACCCCCCCACTTTCTCTTCTAAGAGGTTCAGTGTGGCTGGATTTATGTTGAGGCCTTTGATCCATTTGAACTTAAGTTTTGTGTGTAGAGATAGACATGGATCTATCTGCATTCTTCTACATGCCAGTCTCCAGTTATGCCAGCACCATTTGTTGAAGATGCTTTCATTTTTCCATGGCATATTTTTAGCTTCTTAATAACTTGTTTTTAATATGAATATTATCATATTATTCGGAGAACAGAAACCTACCAATATGTCCCCTCATACGTCCTTTTATGAATATCTGAGGTGTTTAAGGGTCCTTCTTGCAGGTGTTAGCCATTACTCAACATGCCCTGATACATTAGTTATCTACAAAGTGAAAAGAAAAAGGAAGCTATGTAGGCTATGATTGACATAAGAGAAACTGTTCTGGGCCCCATGTATAACAGCGTCTAGAGAAGCAGCCATTGTTACTATGATGTCAGTACTTTGACAATTGTGAGAGGTATTTATCACTGAATCAACTATGTGTTCTCACTCCTTTTCACTCATCAAAAATAACCCAGAGAGCAAGTTGTATTTTCAAAGTTTTGTGTGTGGAGTTCAGAGGACAACTTTCAAGAGCAAAGTCTTCACTTCTGTTGTGGGCTTAGGGGCTCAAACTCAGGTCGCCATGCTTGGACCTCAAGCTCTTTTTATCCTTTGAGCCAGTCCTCAGCTCCAGAGCAAGTTTTAGTTCAATTGCCAAGAAGGCAGTGAAATAAGGCTGTTCTCCTAATAATGGAGAATGAAGGTAATGGATTTTGGATGATCTCTTCTGGAAAGCCTTCTTTAACATGTGACTATTTGTGGGAGCCCATTTAGTAGAAGACACTGGACACCATGAGTTGTGCTTCATTTAGCAATTTATTTAATCCTCTGAAGGTGCTAAGTAATTCCTTGTTCTTGGGGGAGAATTTACTAGTCACTTGACTGAGTTGTGATAAATGGTTTGCATGGTGTAAAGAGAAACCTTTTCCTTGAGAGAGAAGCCTTCCCGCCAGCTTGGTTTTAGAGCCGCATCAGTCCCAAATAAACACACAAGGAGGCTATATTCATTATGAAGCTGTTGGCCTTGCTTGTTTCTTACTGGCCAGCTCTGACTTAAGTAATTACCCCATAATTGTTAATCTAAGTATTTCTCTTACCGGAGAATAGTTCCGGGCTTCCTACCCCATGGTGGTTACATCTCGAACTCTCTGTGTTTCTCCTTCCCAGAATCCTCCTGGACTCCTAGTCCCACCTATCTAGATTTCTATTGGCTCAACAGTGCTTTATTGACAAAAGACTTCCCCAACATCTCCTCTTTTCTGTTTAAACAAAAGGAAAGGTCTTAACTTTAACATAGTCAAATTGTATATGACAGAACAGTTATCAAGTAAGAATATAGTTACAATATTTTAGCAAGATTTAAAGAAAATATCATCCATCCCATTCTTGTGAGTCCAAAGTTCTATATGTAGCTTATCTTTTATCATAACTAAGGAAAACTATAATTATAACTATCTGTCTTCAACTCCATCAAAGACCACAGAAGGATAATATATAAACACTAGGATTGACAGATACATCTTGCTACCTGGATAGTCACCCAAAGTTCCTCTGTAACTTGGGGCATCCATCTTCAGCCCATAGGCCACAATGTATCCAGAAGATTTCTCAGCAAAGCAGGAAATTTCAAAACTGTCCATCTGCATTGGCAGTCTGTCAGTCATTTTTCTTTGTCCTGCAGAAAGTCTCGTAGACTCTTCCATGAAGCAGGAACCCTGTAAGACTGAGTTCAGCAGTCACTTTCCTGTGGGTCCTGCATGTTCAGTTTATACAGCAACAGTCAAACAGTCTAGGCAAGAGCAGTTTCTTGCCCAAATGGCTAATCTTGCCATGTTGAAAGTAAATTCCATAACGAGTTTCTTCGATGCCCATCTTCCTCTCAGATGTAATTGGTGCTGCCAGGAGCAGACATTTCTCATTGTCAAGAAAAAACCTAAACCATTTTAAATGCCATTTTCTGAAGGCCTTTGAGAGGTTTGAAGACTGTTTATCTATCTCAAATATATTTCTGTATATCTAGAAAACCTAACTTACCTAACTATAAATTCTAAGTAACTATCTATAGTCTGTATTCAATTATGAATTACATTTTAAAAGATCAGTATAAGCACAATACTTAGTCAAGAGGAGAAATATACACATCATAAAATTGACCTTGAATTTGTATCAATAAATGAAAAACAATACCCATACCATAATTCCCTTTTTTACCATTAAAAATGAGATTGGTTGTAATCATTAACCAATTATAAACAATCCCATTTAAATGAAAACAAGGTTTATAAACAAGATGGGAATTAGAATGTCGCTCTTTCCAAACTGCTTCGTGCTGTAAAGGGGCACTGTTCATACCATGGGGATCATGACAAAACTCAGAAACCTGTATAAGTGTGTATTTTTGGGGTCTGTAAAGCTGCATCATCTTAGCTGTCTCAATTGTTGGAACACCTAGTCCACTGCTTCCGGGGGTCTTGGTTCGTCAAACCACAGAAGCCTGGAAGGAATCCTCAGCTTTTCATTTTCTGTGGAAACATAAACTAAAACTCCTTTTCCAAGTAACATATCCTTATACTTAAATTTTGAAGTCAAGGCATTTTCAAAAGATATAAGTTGAATTAATTCAGCAGCATTTATAATCAAGTGTACTTTAGAAGCAGTTCCTTCCTTAGCAATGAAAAACCTGAAAAACACAATAGCGTACAGTATCCAGACTCTCTGTGTATTTTCCATCTTTACGTGGCTTATTTATTTATCTATTATTACTTTATTTCTTTCATTTTTATTTAATTTTCTCTGAGACAGGGTTTCTCTTTGGAAATCTGCCTGCCTCTGCCTCTGAAGCAATTCCTACTGGCGTGCGCCACCACAGCCGGCTTCTCTATTTTCTCTCTCAATCTTACGTATATTTTTAAACACACTGTAAACCTTTAGAGGTTTTGTTCATCCAAGTCTGACTTTACCGTAAATTTTTATGTTTTTCTGGCCACGTGTCTTATCTGTTAAAACCGTGGCAGTTTAAACTGCCTTTTTTTCCAAGATGGCGGGCATAAGCGTGACTCCAGCTCCCGGCTTGGAGAAGTGGTCACTGCCTCTTCCAGCTGTACGTACAACTTTTAAATCATTAGCAAAGCCTCTTAAAACAACCTTGCTGGGTTTTTTTTCTTTTTATGCCGAGTCAGGAAGACTCCTGTAAGCAAGCCGCGTGAATCTCGGCTTGTTGCTAGCAAAACAGAGCCCACCTGAGAAAAATCCTGCTACCAAAATCTGTGCTTCTCTCTGTTCTTCTGTTTCTAAAATTCCTTTAAAGCTTTTGTCATTCTACGTGGAAATTCAATCCCGCTCCTGATCACCATTTTTAAAGAGAAGCTTTTTCCTTAAGAGAGAAGCCTTCCCGCCAGCTTGGTTTTAGAGCCGCATCAGTCCCAAATAAACACACAAGGAGGCTATATTCATTATGAAGCTGTTGGCCTTGCTTTTTTCTTACTGGCTAGCTCTGACTTAAGTGATTACCCCATAATTGTTAATCTAAGTATTTCTCTTACCGGAGAATAGTTCCGGGCTTCCTACCCCATGGTGGTTACATCTCGAACTCTCTGTGTTTCTCCTTCCCAGAATCCTCCTGGACTCCTAGATTCCTATTGGCTCAACAGTGCTTTATTGACAAAAGACTTCCCCAACAGCATGGTAATATTTTTGTGGTCCCTGTGGGGAAAAATAAGAATCTTGTTGGTTTTAATGAGATTTCTAAAAGCTTATATCCATGTTTTGTTTGGGATATTATGGAAAAGCTCTTATAGATACCTTCCAGGGTAAAGTGTCCCAAACCATTCTTTCCATGTGGGTACTGAGCACATAGAAGGTAGCATTCCTATTGCTTTTCCCATGCCTCTGGAGTCAGGGCAAATGATCCTGTTTGACATTACTACTACTCTTCAGTTTTCCTTCCTGCTGGGAAGCTAGTTATATGATCTCACTTTCTGAAGGTGAAACCATGGGGCTACATCATTAGATTTATTCAACTGGTCCACATACAGAAATAGTGCTGTTTACTCCCAGACTGAAATTTAGGAGCAAGTATTAAATATCTATGAACTCTCTTTACCACTACCGAGGAGAAAGAAAGTCTTATGTAGACTCGACACTTCATGGAGTCACGAGACTGAAGTGGCCTTGTGGGAGATGGGCTGTCTTCAAGGGTCACTCTGGCCCAGAATGGATGTTACATGAATAAGAAATAAACTTCTGTTGTGTGAAGCACCTGGGATTTCACTTAATTTGTTATCTCAATGTACTCTGACCTATTCTGACCTATAAAGCCACAAACTGGGGGCAAATGACTACAGATGACCCCAAGGGAAGTCTGTGTCTACAATGACTTATTTCTAAGATCTTCCTAATGGAGGAGTCCATATTGAATGTCAGTAATCTAATTCTTCTGAGACTGCTAACTACACCCAGGAAATATATGAGTTCAGAGTCTGTTTCACCAAAGGTGACCAGTTTTCCAGGACTTAGAAAGGTTGACAACCAGAAGAACTGAACAGATGGTTGTGTGGAGCCAATACCCAGGTAGTGAATGTCAGGCCTTTCTCATTATGACATGATGGAGAGAAAATAATTGAGGGCATGCATACCTTACCAGAAACTAAAAATTTCTTTGAGCAGTATTAATAGCTAACATTTATCATAACATATAAATCTGTGAAGGGGCCCATGCTTTTTTCAGTGTTTTGGTGAGACCTTCTCCCACCATACTATTTAAATCAGAAATTCTTATCCATCCCCTCTCCCTTCTTTGATTTGTTGCTTTCCCCAGCCATTCCTTCCTTCCTATAGGACTTGCTTTATTTGTTTGGTCTATTATGTTTTGCTCAAATACATGCTCTGCAAAGCAAAAAAAAAGGCTTGAAGAATTTGTAGCCTATGGTAGGTGTTTGTTGAATTTGTTGTTCACTGTAGCCAGATGGGAGAATGTGTTGTTCATTGGAATGCTGTCTGCTGCCTGAGGCTGTGGGTCACACAAAACAGGGAGTTTAACAGGGCCACTTCCCTCAAAGCAGAAAATAGTGGTTGACTGGCCTGAAGTCTTCAGATACTGAACACAGGGGACACCTTAAAAAATGGGATAAAGATGAATGAGTAAGGGACCCTTGTAGAGGAGACTTTTCTCCATCTAGTCCAGTCCCACTTGACCGTTTTCTTTCTGCCCACTGGGTCCCTGCAGTCACTTATAAGAGAACCACTCAGAGACTTTATATATATGTATATATATATATATATATATTTATAATTGTTTGGCCAATGGCTTAGTCTTATTACTGGCTATCTCCTTCTCTGTTATAAATTAACCCATTTCTACCAATCTGTTTATCATCATGTCACTGTGGTTTATCAGTAATGCCCTGGTGTCTTGACTCCCTGGCGACTACATGGAGTCTCTTGACTCTACCTCCTCTCTCTGTGTGTGTTTGGATTTCCCACCTGGCTTTACTCTGATTAGCCATTGGTTGAAACAGTTTTATTCATCAACCAATATTCGCAGCATAGAGAGGGACATACCACATCAGACCCTAAGTCCAAATTCGGCTTTATTTTGTTCCTATTGCTCTCTTTGAAAGCATCCTGTAGTTTCCTTTCACTCCCTTTGCAGGTGAACCCCAAACAGGAATGACTCATTTTCTTAACAACTTGTGTTAGTGTCTGTATAGTTGAGACAAGTGTTGGATATACACCAGTTGTTGAGTGAGACCCTAGGTAACTGCTAAGCTGTATGACTTCCAGATTTTTGCTGTTTTGACCCTCTTACGTTATTCTCTGTGCCCTAGAATCTAATATAGACTGCCTTACTCCAGTTTCCCCAGTCCTCTGATTCCTGTTAGGTTCACTCAATGGAAGGAAGGTATCAAAAAGACAGAGATTGGGAATGGAGTATCAAGGATATAGGAGTAGCTGTCTCTAGGGCACCCGCAGGCTACCTGCTCTTGCTTCCTTGCCTCCCTTGGCATGGTGGTGGGTCATATTGAGCAGATCCTTTTTTATGGCTCTTCTCCCTGGATTATGGTAACACCATTCCTCTATAGTAACTCCTCTCTAGCCTCTTCAACCTAGAGACATTAACAGCTTTCTGCTATTAGTTTCTGAGTACTTTATCATCTCTTACTGGTCAGCTCTGCTGTGTCTACTGGGACATTGGCTGACATAAAGACTCAAACAAGCTATGTGCATTCTCAGAGCCTTACTTTCTTTTTAGGTACAATGTAGAGTATGATAGCTACTAAAATTTGTTTCACTTAAATAAATTTCACCTAACCATACAGACTACAGACAGTAGCATTTGATCTTTTTTTTTTGTTTGTTTGTTTGAAGTCTTTGTCCTCAGAACTTGGAGCATTGATTGCTAATGGTTTGCTGTCTGAAACAGCAAGACATTACTCTTGTTCTCAGATTCTTAGTAGCCTTCATGGGAAGACAGTGAGCTTCCCAGAAAATACTTTGCTGTGCTCTGAGGTTAATCACAGGAAATGACAATGCATGCCAGTGCTTTGTAGGACTGTTTTTTGTCCCCTACTCTATGTCTAATAGTTACTAATTGCTGTGACCAAACACCTGGGATATTGGCTTAGCATTTAAGAAGGAGATACAGTCGGTTGCTGAAGTAAAGGCATGGCAGCAGGTCTGGGAGGTGAATCTGCAGTCAGGAAATGAAAAGCAGATAGGAGGTGCAGCCAGGCGTTCAAACTCCAAGACCTCCCCTTAGCTAGTCACTTCCTTCAGCAAGGCTCCATCGACTAAAGGTTCTACAACTTTTCAAAACAGCACCCCCAGCTGGGTACCAGGTGTTCAAACATACCAGCCTATAGGGACATTTTGCAATGGAACCACGCCAGTTATTGTACTGTTTCAGGTAATTCATACTCACAATGGCCATAAGGTATGGTTACCAGTCTTAAGATCTGACAAAGTGGGTGACCACAATCAGTTTCAACTAGGCAGAGATGGTATCTATCCATGCCTCACTGACATCTCTCTATATCCAAAGTCAAAACTCTGTGGTCATGGCTGGGGATCGACCAGGCTAGCCATCCCCGTTTCCTCCCAACAGGGTGCTCAGCTTTCTAAGTGGTCATACACGAGAATGTGGCTTCTCTTCCTTTCCACAATAACCTTATTATTCTGTTACACATTAGCAACAGCAAGTCTCTGGAAACCTATAGTCAGGAAGGGGCTTCTCTATATGCTAGGGTAGTCATGTTTGATGGAGGTGTGGGGACTTCAGAGTGAGGTCATGAGTTTGTGTGGGATCCATCAAAGATATATTATTGTCAGGGGCCACACAGAAGGATGACCAAAATGAGGAGAAAGTCCTGCAGAGAGGGAGGGCTGAACTGGGGTGAGGGAGGGGGATGGGAATGTGTGTGGGTGCAGTAAAATAAAAGTGTCAGCAGAAAGGAAGCCTTTGTGTCTCTGAGTGGTGAGGTTTCTGATAATAAGAAACTTGGAAAGGGAGTGGACCTCAGAGAATCCCACAGGAGTCAGGAGTGCCCATGCCAAGGGTTCTGCTAAGAAGCTGGGCTGCAGAACTCCTGATGAGAGGGAATTCAAACCAGCATTTTCATTAGCTAAAATACTTGGAATAAATCAAAAGTTTTCTCCCTGCCATCACATTCAGAATCATCTTTCACTAGGACTTGGAGGAGTGACATGTGCACCTCTTAAGAATAAGCATTTTGCAAGTTCCTGACCATATTCAATCATATAAGGATAAGAAAGAAAGATACTTAGAAATTATCCATTTCTCACACCCTCAAACACACACTCTATTTATATGTTAGCTTTGAAAAAGAACCTTCAGGTTTTTAATGACTAAGAGACATACCCGGCAGCTGATGCAGCAGCTGAGTCTCTAGGATTTGCTTAGAACACTGGAAGCCAAGATACAGCTGTAGAATATTCAGTGCAGGGTTTTTTTCTGCCCAACTATAGGCTTTGTTTTTGGAATTTTATTCAGTGTATTTTGTGGTTCAAGCATATTCACCCCATCAACTAATTCTCCCCAGATCCATGTCTTTTCCCTAGCCATCCAACTTTGTCTTATTTTGTTTTTCCCCAATAAGACCAATTTGTGTTGCCTAAACTTTTTGGATGTGTGGTCTTCCATCAGAGCATGGTTGACTTACCAAGGTCTACATTCTTAGAGAAAACAGACTCTCCCTTCCTCAGCAGCTAATAATTGTCAGTCACTCTTGGGTGTGGGGAGGGATTGTGTGCCTACTCCCCTCTTCATTCTGGGATTTGGTGTGGCATGGACTTGCACAAATCTTGTGGGTGTTGTACTGTTCATATGTTCACTGCTGTGAGATCATGTGTGCAGCTATCCTGTGTGTCCATGAGACACCGTTTCCTGTGGTCGTCCACTGCCTCTGACTCTTACACTCTTTCTGCCTTCTATTTCACAATGGTCCCTGAGCTCTGGGAGGAGGGGTGTGGTGCATGTGTTCTGTCTGGGGCTGAGAATTGAAATCACTTATTTTCTGAACCTCAGACAGCTGTGGGTCTCTGCTTAACACCAACTACTGCAAGCAGAAGCCTTTCAGACGAGGGTTGAGAGATGCCCTGATGGATGGGTGTGATAGGATTTTCCACCGCCATGGATGATGTTGCCAGCTTATATCCATCTCTGATTCATAGAAGCTAAGGTCTAA